ATGGACTATAAAGTAATCTTTTTATATGAAACTGAAAGACAGAGACATTTAAATCTAATGAAAGTGACAATATAACTAATGTGACTTTAACAGTGATGACTATAAACGAAAACTACTCGGATGAGAAACAAAAAAAATTACAGTCGTTTAACAATTTTACATATCGAAAGTACCCTACTTTGAGCCCTATAGCGCCGTCCCTGGAGTATTTTTGGGTTTTTTGAATACTCCTTAGTTACGACGTTTCATTTTGCCCCATTGTGCACGATAATTTAAAAAGAGACTTTTATGAAAAGGTTTTAAGTATTATATAATTTGTTAACTGTTTCAGTTTTTGTTTAGATTCAGCACAAACCAAGAAAATTCAAACAAATTTTATTTTTTCCGATTTGCTTTGAAATTTTAATATCTGGCAATTACATTTTTTTTTTAAATTCACAAACCACTGGGTGTACAATATACATATATATTTTAAAACTATTGTTTTTTTCGAATATAACTTCAAATTTTTGAAAGAAATTTTGAAAATTTGAACATTACATTATATTGTTATCTGATTCCAAATTTCAGTATATTTGAACTCCAGGAAGTGGCTTAAAATTCAGTTAAAATTTTCGATTTTTTGTACATAACATTACATTGTCTTCAGGTGTCTTTATGTGTACCAAGATTCATCGGGCTACGGGAACTGGACGAAAATTCAGTTACAAAATTTGTACCAACTAACAAAGCAATTTAAATAAAAGCTTTTAAAAAATTAACTGGTTTGTTTAAAATATATATTTTTAATGGTGAAAATTAAAAAAATTGTCAAATATGTTTTGAGAAAATTTGACTTCTTTATTAATTTTCTCAATATCGAGTTTTTGCATCGTATTTATTTTTATTGAGCAATAAAACCTGACTTATTTTGTAATTTTCTGATTTTCCTAAAGTTATATGTTTTTTTCGAATTATAGCACAATTAAACTACAAAAGCAAAAAAGAAAACTTAAATAGCTGAGCCGAATCTTAAATACCTTTATATTAATGACAGCTTTAATTGATCAAATATTTGTGGAAATAGGTATACTCGTGCTTTCTAATAAAAACAAGTCAGAGTGCTATATTCGGCTGAGCCGAATCTTAAATACCCTAAACCAGCTACTTATACATATATTAATACTTTTCTAATTGATCAAATATTTGTAGAAATAAGTTTTCTCATGTCTTGAATAGAAAAAATACAAAGATTTAAGCAGCTTAAATCTATTACAATTCCATGATTTATTGAACATTACAAACACCATTTTCTTTATATTTTTATAGCGCTTAGCGATATTTAGTATTTTGCATGTATGCATGTGTGTAAAAGATTTAAAGATTTTCAAAATAAATATATATAATTTTGTTCTACACAAATTGATAATGCAACTAGTTAAATACGGTTAAAGTGCTTTTAGGGGCAGGACATAGTATGGGAGATATGACCAATTATAGACCGATCGTAAAAAATTCTTTAAGCAAAATTTCTGTTCATAAAAGCTATATTTCAGTCAAATTTTGTATCTATATCGTAATTTAGTAATAAGTAATGTGTGTTTAAGTGATTTTCTGAATGACAGCTGATTTTCTGTTATGAACCGATCGTGAAAAAATCTTGAAATAGAATTTTTGTATACAAAATTAATATTTGGGCTAAATTTTTTATCAATAGCTTTATTTGCTAATGAGTAATGTGCGTTTAAGAGATTTTCGTAAAAGGACCTTGTATGGGAGCTATGACCAATTATGGACCGCTCGGAGAAAAATTTCACAGTAATATTTCTGTGCATATGAGTAATACTAGTACCAAATTATGTGGATATCTTAATTTAGTAGTGAGTTATGCGCGTTTAAGTGATTTTCGGAAGGGGACCTTGTATGGGAGCTATGACCAATTATAGACCGATCAGAAAAAACATTCACAGTAAAATTTCCGTATGAGCAATACTTATATCAAATTTTATATGGATATCTTAATTTAGTAATGAGCTATGGCCAATTATGGATCGATGGAACAAAAATTTCACAGTAATATTTCTGTATGTGAGAGCAATACTTGTACCAAATTTTATATGGATGTCTTAATTTAGTAATGAATTATTTACGTTTAAGTTATTTTCGGGAGGGGACCTTGTATGGGAGCTATGTCCAATTATGGACCGATTCCGAAAATTTTTTCTCTGAATGAATTCTATTCACATAAGATTTTAATTTGTAAAATTTTGAAAGCTCTTGTGTAGAAACGAATGTATGGAATTATCTTGCATAGTTTTCGAGAAAATTACATCAGAATGTGTAAAAAATGCTTATTTTTTTCGAGGTTGTTTCAAATTTTAATTCATAACTTTTCCCGGTGTGAACCGATTTGGCTTATTTTCAATACCAAACTGCCTAGGACAATAATAAATATTTTGGGTGAATTTCGTTAATTTTTGTTGCTTCGTGTTAACGTGAGAATGTTTTATACAGACAGACAGGCAGACGGACGGACGGACGGACATAGCTAAATCGACTCAGAATTTCATAAGGTCCAAGAATATATATACTTTGTTGGGTCTCAGATGAATATTTCTTGGTGTTACACACGGAATGACAAAGTTATATATACCCTCTATCACCACTGATGGTGGTGGAGGGTATAAAAACTTAAGATTTAAATATTTTAAATGAGTAACAATTGTAAGATGTATTGAACATTACATTTCTTTCTTTAGCATTTTTATAGCGCGTTAAATGAGATTTAGAGATATTTAATAATTTCCATGTATGCATGTGTGTGAACGATTTCAGGAAATTCAAATATATTCTTGTACACGCGCTTAATGTGATTTTCGGGAAGGGGACCTTATATGGGAGTTATGACTTATTGGGGACCGATTGTACAAAAATTTTACATTAACGATTCTGTATGTAAAGGCAATATCTCGTAAAAAAATACAGTAACATTTCTGTATACAAAAGTAAAATATATGTATATTAGGCTTCACGCAATATTTTTGAAATTGTGATATCATACCTTATTAAAGGTTTTTGATCAACACTAATATTGGCGTAATTATTTTGTTAAAATTGCAACTCCTTCATCTGCATATCTGCGGCCAAAATACCGATTTTAGGCGACATTTTTTGATAGACCGAAAACTGCTGAACATATTTCAAATCCGACTTAAGTATACTATTCTACAGGAAAATTTAAGATATATAAACTTAATTTGACAGAATTTAGATGCACTATAAATGCATAAGAGCAAAAGGAAAAAAAAATGCAATTTAAAAAAAAAAAATTCAAAACCTGATTTTATCATTCGTAAATATAATATTCAATGCCATTAAAAAAATAGTGTTAAAATTTTTAATTTATTGTAATCCGTTTAGGAGTTATGATGGTTATAATGTTAGCTTGTGGTTTAATAATTTCCCATCAAACGATGGTGTTTTTCATCATCATCTCCGAATTTAATAAAACTCCACCCAATTAATGTTCTATATATGACTTGTATAATGACAAATTTTGGGTCTTATAACTTTCGTAGTTAAATATAGCGTTGTAAAGTTTAAAATCTGAAAATTTAAAGTCTCATCACATCTAAAGGGTTAATGATAAAATTTTTGTTCTTGCACCATTTGTCTCAGCAAAAAGCATACTTTGATTATGCACAAAAAATAAAAATGTTTGAAATATTTTTTGAAAAAAGTTCATCTTTGGATAATACTAAATGCACTTTTGAAGCGTTATAAAAGTGTGAAATTTAGCTCATTCTTATTGATTTTTCCTATAAAATCAATTATTAGAGCATGATTTCCTATAAATTCTGTAGTTTCTGCTCTGTAAAAAATGTCGCTCAAAATTAGTGGTTTCCGCCTCAGATATGCAGAGGAAGGAGTTGGAATTTTGAAAAAAATATTACAGCATAGTGATCACAGATACAAAAACCTTCTGAAAAGTTGTGATATCACAAAAACGGGAAATATTTTGTTTTTTGAAACGAAGCCTAATGTATATGTACCAAATTTTGAGAGAGGAGACCTTACATGGGAGCTATGATCAATTATGGACCGATTCAGAAATGTTTTCTTTATATGAATTCTATTAACATAAAACTTTAATTTGTCAAGATATTCATATTCTAACGGAAGTAATTAGCAATAAATTAATTTTCCGCGAATATGTACATTTGTATGGGAGATATATGGAATTGTGGACCGATTCCGTCAATTTTTAACAGAAATCAAGATTTTGTATAGAAACAAATGTGTGGTGATTTTCATACAATTATAGCGCATAATTTTTGTGAAAATTGCATAGCTTATTTTTTTCGGAGTTTTTTGAAATTTTGATTTCTAATTTTTCACATTGTGTACCGATTTTGCTGATTTTCAATACCAAACTACATAGGACAATAGTAAATATTTTGAGGACGCGTGTTATCAAATAATATATGTATGCATATATTTTGTTGGGTCTCAGATGAATAGTTATCAGTGTTACAAACTTATATACATATGCTATAATTATATATACTTTGTTTGGGTCGCAAATGAATATTTACCAGTGTTACACATGGAATGACAATCTTATATATACCCTCTATCACCACTGATGGTGGTGAAGGGTACAAAAATACACCGCAATATGGACAATTTCGTGTCAAGTGACCTAACTTTTAAAATCCATGTCTTCCGATTTGGATAAAAAAGGAAACAGTAAAGAAATAGCTATCTGAACTCCATTGGATAATTTATGCTAGGACCAGTAGGTGAAAAGTTACATTCATTTGAATAAAACTCTGGCCAAAATGTCCAACAGTTCTTTGCCAATAGAGCTGAAAATTTGTGTCTGGCCTACTATCCAATAGTAGTAACCTTGGTGCAAATTTCATTCAAATTTATTTTTTGGATTGGATCACTTGACACGAAATTGCATATATATAAATACATTTAAATTTTAAATTTATTTTTCTTTCTTAACATAATAGAGAATGAAGTGCAACATAATTTGAAGTGTAGCACAACAGAGGCTGGAGGCAACAACTTTCAAAACTGCAGTAAGAGCACATCAACATCCCCATCAAAAACGGAAAATACTGAAAATTCGGAACAAACAATAGAAAAAGCCGCCACTAATAACGATGTAGTTACGCAAAATGTTAGTGCTGTTACAAATAATGTAATGAAACCTTCAGGTGGCGGAGCAAGTTCTGTTACAAATACGAGCAGTAATACAAACAATTCCTTAGAACAACTTAAAATTGAGTTAGAGAACATAACACATGCACAAGCATTTGCATCGGCTATTGTGGCTTCTATAAACAACGATCAAGTCTATCAACAACAGCAGCAACAACCACAGCAACATACTAGTTTACAACAGAATCAAGAAGAGGTGAGAAATATTTGACGAAAATGACTTGACCCCTAAAAAATTAACACTTTGATTTTCTTTAAATATATACATATTTATTTGCGCAAACATAATAAATCTTTGACGACATCATTTTAGAAAGTGTTTATTATTTGTTTCGACATTATTTGCATGTAGAATCAAAATAAAATTAAAAAAAAATATGATATGATATGACATTTGTCTCTTTATGTTTAACCCAGGGACCCAAAAAAATTAATTTTTTTATTTCAAAAGAAAAGCTTAAGCTAAAATCCCATTATCTTATTTAGGGATTTTAACCATAATTATAAGATTTATAACTAATAAACATGAGAAATATTTTTTTGGCTATAGAGTCATTCCACAGACATTTCGACCACTTTAAATTTTTGACACCTTCGATTTAGTTAAAATTTAGGTCATGTATTCTACTCTTAAATATGGTGTGAATGGCCTATAAATTGGATCCATAATTTATACGGTTCATATATTATGGGCTCCTAAAGTTGTGCGCCTAGCGTATTTTAGTGGAAAAATATGTTGACGACTTAATTACTAAAATAAAGGTTTTAATGCCGAATAATGTAAAAATTACCACAGCCAATCAACTTGATGTTAGAAATATCATGTCTTAATTAGACGAAATATTAGAGGTCAAATGTAAAAATAATAAATTTTTTAGAAATTTATGACATTTTAATTTCAGATCATTTTTTTGCCCCATCATCAACCAAAATATATTTTTTTTTGGTCATAGATAACCAAAATTAATTTAATTAAATTTTTGGTCCAAACAGTAACAAACAGTATTGCCATAACGGCATTTAAAGTGCAATTCTATAATTTTTTTCGTCAGCTTTTTGAAAAAAGTGCTTTTTAGCACTTTTTCGTCTTTTGCTAGATATTTTTTAAAGTGCTTTTTTGGCATTTTTCATTTATTTTGAACTTTTTATAATTAAAGAACTTAAAAATTTATTTTCTTTAAGAACTAAACTATCCCTTTAAAAATCTGCAGATATAACACATGTGTATATAAGCCTAAACCATTTTCATAGCGACTGGACCTCATTTGACTCTAGTTCTATACAAAGTTTAATTTCAGAAAAATACTTAACTTACTTATAAGCTCTAGTATTATGATAAAATTTGGCATAAATAAGTTTTATATAAATATAAATTCCACCCCCAAATTATATGAGGATTGGTCCATATTTGACCCTACTCGCGATGTAACACCTGGTTTTTATTTGTATCTATAAATTGCTTAAACTTGTATATAGGTCTGTCATGTCCGACTGCACTTTCCTCCTCTTTAATTTACCTTATCCCCAATAAAAACTCCCGTTTAAAAAGTGTTAATCGTCCATAATTGATTTATAACCATTAGTAACGCGATGAAATTCATCATAACTAACTTTTATATAAAAACAAAATCCAAAAATTATGGATTACCACTTTAAAGCTGTGCAAATGTCACATATAATCGTATGGAATTGTCCATATATTTATTGTAAAGCTACGTTCACACCTATCAAATATTTGCCGTTTTTTTTTTTTGTCAAATATTTGTTAGCTTTAATGTGAACACAAAATATTTTTGAAGAACAAAATATTAGCTGTTTTTCGTGAAAAATTTTTATTTGTCAATCTACAAATATTTTCCCAATGTGAACACCAAACATGAAACATTTGTTAAAAAAAAAAACTATTTAATTGAAATTACAATTGTTTTTTACGATTTCATAGATATATCTGCCTAAAAACATAAAATTAAATACATTTTTATTTCTTAATGTGCTTAAAATGAGTATTTCTGTTTTGACGTTTTGTTTGAAGAAACAAAGCCAAAAACAATTCAATACAAATAGTGAAAATTTGTTTGCCCAGTGTTCACATTACAACAAATAATTTCGTAAAACAATTGACGGATTTAATTATCCTAAAATTTCATTTAATATTGTTTTTCAACAACATTTTACCACAAAAAAACAAATTACATTTCAATACCTTGTGCAAGTGGAAAAGATTTAGATGGTGGACCTGCAGCGTTACCGTTGTGAGACTAAAGTCGCAATTTGACCCTTTTTCGAGTGCTTTGCCACTTTTTATGACCCCTTGTCAAAATGAACTAAATTTGCGGCTTCTTTCGTTTTTTGCCACTTTTTGCCCCTTTTTGAATAAAACACATTTTTGTGTTCTTATACCCACCATAAAAAAGATGGGGATTGTTTTTGTCATTCCGTTTGTAACACATCGAAGTATATCCACAAAAGTATACATACATATATATTCTGGGTCCTATTGAATTCTAAGACTATCTAGCCATGTCCGTCTGTCTGTCTATTGAAAGCATGATCGAGACCGAACGAAAAAAGCTAGAGCAATTTTACACATATATATCCTATATGTTGGGCTTGTTTAGTATTGATAATGGACAATATTAGCCAACTTTTTCGCATAGCCTCCATACAAGTGCCCTCCGAAAAACAACTTTAACAGACATAGGTACCCCACTTTCTCAATGTCTAGTTATATTTTATCGGAACGATACATTGACAGTTTTCATACAAATATATTTTTAACCGGCAGAATATCTAGAGGTTAAACGATAACCGGAGATTGAGATAACGGATAACGGAACTAGTTTGATAAAAACCGAAATCTTTGTTCAAAAATGTATAAGGATCGGAACATATTTGACCCAATTCCCATATTTAGGGTCCGCTTCAGAAAATTACTTTAATGCTAAATACTGGCTTGATAAACCTGTTTATATGTATCTTTCTTTAAAAATGTATATCCCCCAGAAAAACAAGTACAGCAATGAAATTCGACAAAAACTCATTTTATATTAACCGAAATATTTTAGTTAAGTTTTAATAAGAATCCGTCCATAATTGACCTTTTTCCCTTTAGACGGTCCTCTTCAAAATATAAGTTTAACGCTCATAACAGTCTTTAACTTCTATAGAATCTGAAAACTGCATACTAAATTTTATGAGGATCTAGATATAATTAACCCATAAAAAATAAACAAATTAATCTTTTTACCAAATTTTATGAAGATTGGTTTATAGTTGACACTACACCCATATGATCTTCATCTCCTACAGAAAATAACTTTAACACTCATTACAGATTTAAAAGTGTTGTTATACCTATGAAATTCGGGATAAATAAATTTTAAAGAAACCAAAATATTTCTACCAATGTTTATGTGGATCGGTCTATAAATGTTCTTACCCCATTGAATGCACTATTCCGAAAATAGTATTGATGTTCATGAAACTATTGATATACGATAATGAAATTCAGTATTATTGATTAAATCCTAGTCAAATATAGGATTAAATTCCGAAAATCGCTTAAAATTTATTTATTGGTCCAAGATGTGCCAAATTTTATAAAATTATCTTGTAATTTGCGGTTAAGATATGAGCGCATAAATTTTATAGCAATATATGTTCTTACATGTAGAAGACGCTCAACGATTTTATGTAGGCTTTTATATAAATCTATTTCTGTATATTTGACTGTTCTAGGCATGACTGGGCCCACAAATAGTGAGCATGGTAAGTGGAATTTTCAAACATATTCTGAGTTGATCAAGGAGTTTACTCTGTATTTCGATTCAAAAGGTCTTTCGTAACACAATGTATTTAACATACAAATTCGAAAATTTGTTCATTCGAATCGAGTTACAGAGTATTTGATATTCAAAATTGGTGAATCGTCTAACTGGAAAAATATTTTATGAATGTCCTTAATACGCTGAAACCTTAGAGCTGACAGCTAAAGAACGATTTAAAAAATATAAAAATCGTTGATTTAATACAAAGTTATGTCTCTTCTCAGCCTCCGTTTATTCTATTTCGGAAAGATATTACAACGATAAATGCAGAAGATGGGGTAAATTATTTGATAGTGGGTGCATCGACAGAATTTTTATTTTACATCTGAGCATTATTATTATAATTTTATTGCTAATTAAAATATGGTTAATTATTAAATATGGTTAATTATTTACTAATTTAATGCACATTTAAATACAAATGAAATGATTTTGCCAACGTTGACACTTTTTGTGTTAAAAATCCCCCTTCAGTGCGACTTTTTGAGAAAAATACCCTTTTTGTGCAACTTTTCGAAATTTTTCAACGGTAACGCTGTTGTCATGTTGCAGATATTTAGTGTAGTCAATATAGCGAAAACCCTTAGTTGTTTGGAACGGTTTATAGCGTTTTATTACTGTAACTGTAATATTTTGAATAAAATATTGTCGAACTGCAAGACATAGGCTTTAATTGGGGACTAAACGATTAAAATCGGATAAATAATTAAGAAAATATAAGAAAATTTATGTATATATATATATATATATATATATATATATATATATATATATATATATATATATATATATATATATATATATGTATATATGTCTGTTGTTGTCAACCAATTAATAACAAAATAAACAACAAAAATAATTTTCTTTAATTTACGCAATTGCTTAAATTTCTATAAAATGTCACAACTACTTTGTCTCAGATTTCTATTTTACTGGTCGTTTTAGAATTATTTTTGAATCATATTATAGTCATTTTTGAGTCTTTTCTGAGTAATTTTTATGTTTGTTACAGACAAATACAATACAACAGAAAACACTTTTTGATCTTCCGACTGCACGGAATGTAAATACAAAATAAATTTATAAACAATCAAATTTCGAAAACCTGGAAGTTCTATTTGCAGTGTTGCCAGAAAATGAATTTCAAAATATGCTAAAACTTGAAAAACTAAGTGCTTAAATGTTCTACGGACGAAACAAAAAGTGCTAAAATTTTTTAATCTAACAAAACAATATAAATGTTTGTTTTTTCTGGTTTTTATTAAAATACTGATGATGTAGTGCACGACTCCAATATTTCTGGTACTATATCTTCATCGTAATCCTCATTTTGATATTTTTCAAATGATCGTATTTTATTTGTAATATA